AAAATGCTTACAACAAATGGATTCAGGTAAGAGACACGGCATCAAAGATGATGACCACCAAAAGGGAGGTCACATTTTGCAGACTTGGGGTATAGTCCTTGACTAGACTCCTCTCACCCCACAAGCGAACCACAAGTTCTGGGCTTCCTAGGCCAGCCACACTTTGAGTCAGTTGCCTACAAACTCGCAGGTTCCTGCTCTCCCTCCTGAGAAACATCCCTGGACGGCTATCCGATACCGGTGCCCTCTCTCCGCCATTGGCGAAGAACCCAAGCTGCATCCCTTAAATGCATGTATCCGTCACATCAGCTCTGTTCCTTAGAGCACCCTGACTAATATTGGAAGCTTCTCCTCTTGCCCTCAGGGCCAGGATTGGATCACCTGAACCCTAAATGAAAATTACCGTTCTCAAATCTTAATAACAGCATAAGCATGCATGTCGATCATTTGTGTGGGGGGGGGATAGATGTTACACTATCAATGATCAAGACAAATAAATTGATGAGAAAACCACTTCTTAAATGCTATTCTTGGTATACCTTGTTTCCCCCCCCCCCCAAATGATCTTTGTAATCCGTTCTCTCTTTCGGGATACATATAGAACCCTGAGGAACTGATACTGATTGAGTACTTTCTAAGTACCAACTGCTAAGCTAAATGTGCCAACTGATTATCCCTCTCCACCCACCTTCCAGTTAACACCTCCCATTGTATGACTGATAAGACCAAGTCTCTCCTCCGGGTGAAGCAGCCAGGGAGACTAAGTGTGAATATTCTGGGGGGAAAACACAGGGGTAACGGTCAGGAGACTAAAAAGGGCCTCCTCTGCTTAAAAAAGAGGGGGGGAATAAAAGGGAGAGGATATAAGGGAAAGGATGGGAAGATAATAAAAGAAACTGGAAGAGGGTAATGGTGGGGTGAAAGGGTAGAACAGGGGAGGAGAGGGAGGGAGACGGGGGACAGCATGAGGAGATTCAATCAGAATGGAATATGTGTCAAAATCCCATATGAAAACCTATTACTTTGTGATCTAATTTCAAATTTTGAATTAAAAGTAATGATGGTGGTGGAACTGGGACGCCCCCCTCTCTTCAAATAAGTATCCTATTATTCTCCCAGTCCTGTGTCTCTGTTCTTTATTGTGTGCCAAGGCGAAAAGCCTCATTTGAGACACAGATTCATGTAACAAGAAGAGCTGCCAAATATGTCCCCAGATTTCCTCCACAGACACCAAAAGAGGCAATGATAAACCACAGAAGCCCAACCATCAGGCATCACTTAGGGTGGAGAGGCAGGTTGCTTTGTAGGAAATAATCTGCTAGCTCAGCTTAATAGAATTCCGCAGGAAACCCAACAGGTTCAGCATCCCTATTCAGGCTGCTGATGTAAAGTAACTTTCATCAATATAAGATGTCTTGGCCCCCTTGCAGGATGCATCAAGAACATCAACAGTCCAAGGTGACTTAGGGCTACACACTGACATGTGATTAAAAACTTTGAGAAGGAAAAGATGAAGTCGGTCAGACAAAACCCAAGAGCCCCGTGCCATAGAGAATCTCCTGGTTCTCGGTGGAGCAGGGAATGATGGATTGGGCCCTCCAAGGCTACCCAATGATTGAAGCCAGAATGTCAATCAGACAGTGAACCAAGAGGGCAAAGCAAGAAGTTGGATGCTGCTGTCAGCTTGCCAGAGGGTGCCGCGGGGCGTCGGACTTTGTAAAAGGTGAAGAACAACAAAGAACACTGGGGAGACGGCAGACGAGCCTTCCCAGCAGTTTCAAGGACACCCAGGTGGAAATCTGGGCCCTCTGATGCCACAGCAATGAGGAGTTTGCAGAAAGCCATTCCCCCACTTTCGGAGGACAGAGACCTCTATTGGCACAAGATGGCTGGCCACAAGAAGGCCTTTCTGCGCCCCAGACTTCCCTTTACTCAAAACTTGGGGACAGTGCAGGGGTTAGGAAGTATAACTGTAGAAGACAAAGTACCCTGAGGTAATCCTCTCACAGGCCGAACAGCAATAAAGGGGTAGGGATCTCTAACCTGTGAACCCCACATACCCAGGAAGGGGGACTTTGGACTGTGAGTAAAGTCACTGTCAGGATTCCTTCCCACAGTCAAGCAATTCCCTTGTCAAGTCTTTTACTGTGAAAAACAGACCTGCAAGTCCCCACAATTCAAGAAACCTGAGAACCCCAGAGAAAAACTAGGTCTAATGTTTCTAAATTTACATTCTGGGGACTCTCTGAAAATGCTCTAGGGCATGTGGGTATAAATGAGCTATCCCCAATAATCTCAGACCATTGATGGTACTATTTGGGTGAGTTTAGAAGGTGTGGTCTTAACAGAGGAAGTATGTCACTGATGGCAGGCTTCTAAGTTGCTTTCTCCACTTCATCCTTGTGGTTCATGATACGAGCTCTCAACTTCCTGCTCCAGCTGCCCTCCCTGCCTCTTCCTCTAATGCCCCCCTCCCGCGCGCCATGATGAAGTCTTGGCCCCCTGGAACCATAAACACTGATAAGCTCTTCTATATAAACTCTTAATCACGGTGTTCTATCGCAGCAATAGAAAAGTAATGCGGAGTCCAATTGGTAGGGTTTCAGGGGACAAAGATAAACATCAGGCAGGCTCCAAGCAAAGGATTTGCTTCCCAGAGTTTCAAGTAGCAGCTAACGTTTATGCGGACTTTCCCGCGGCCAGACCTGGCCATTGTATTTAGGTGTGTTTTCTCGTTTGTTTCTCCAGACTGATTGAGGTGATGCTATCCAAATCCTCAGCGTAAAGACAAGAAAGCTGGAGCTCAGAGAAGTCAAACACCCAGCGTCGGGTCCTGCAGCTGGCCACTGGTGAATGAGAATCAAACACAGCTTTTTCTCACTGTGTTACACTGGGGTCCTCTTTTTTAAATTTACTGAGAGTTCTACTCCTCTAAAGGTAGAGTTGATTGAACCTGTTTTGTGCATCTTCTTTGCCAGCTGCTGGGGCATCTCCAGCCTTCGTGTTCCTGGGCTTTGTGCTTTGAAACCACCTTGTTAAGACCCTGACAAAGCAGCTCCAGGAGGGCTACCCTGGCCAAGGACCCACAAATCTTCAGTCTCCCAGAGACCACAGCTTATAGTTGGAAGCATCCTAACAGAGTTGGTCATGCGTAGCTTTGTCAAACAGGAGTAGGTGGTGAAGCTTGTCCTGAACGCAGCCTTTGGACCGCTTCTTTGAGGTCTTGTCCCCAGACTGGTTTACTGGGTCTTTGTCTTCCTTGATCCACTTCACGGCACCTTTCTTCTTGTCACGCATGGGCAGCATGGCGATGCTCAGAAAGCAGTGACAACCCCTGCAGTCCCGCTAAGACGTCAGACAAAGAGGCAGGATCCTCTAAGGCGCCCCCTGATGACAGGACTACGTAGGTGGCTCAGTTGGTGAAGTACTTCCTGTGCAAGCCTGAGGGCATGAACTGGATCCCCAGCATCCATGTAAAAAGTATGAAAGGCCTGGGCTTGCTGGTGTACCCTTGTGATTCCAGAGTCGAAGATGTAGAAGCAAGGAAAACCCTGGGGCATGCTGGCCAGCCAGTCAGCCTAGCCTAATAGGCAAGCCCAGGTCCCAGTGAGAGACCCTGCCTCAAATAACAAGGAGGACAGCTCCTAGTCTCTCTAGGATGCATGTGCACCTACATACATTTTACCCCACACACACCTACACATACATAATTAACAGAGACTACCAGTGACAAAGGGGTTTTCTCCGAGTCCACAGCAGTTTATAGAGTTTATCTAAGGTGCCCAAGCCACAGGCAGAGACTGGCAGTTGAAGGCTTATCGAGAACACTGACAGCGGCTTCTGAGTTTTGAGGGCAGTTGATTCCGCCGTCTGTTAAAAGGAGGAGAATATTAAATATTGACCTCTTACAGCTCAGGCCAGCTTTGTGAAGCTTAAAGTTCTGACATCTTAAAAATCACCTCCTGCCATTACACTAGGAACACACAGCCACAGATACCAGGCACCCAGAGCTAAGGAAGAATGGGGCTCAATTGGAGAGCTTTATCCTGACTCTGCACTGTGAGGATGGGGAGAAAGAAAGTGGGGCTCCGTCAGGTGAGGAGGCTGGGGGCTGCTCACAGAGATGATGGAGGAATGAGCAAACACAGGAGATAAATGAGTGCTCACTTTTATATGGAGGATGAAAACACTTTGTCTCCTGAAGCAGTCAGTGTGTTTGTTTTTATGAGACTATCAAAGGTGGCCATGGTTTTTGTTCTACCCTGCCTATAAGAAAACTCAGTTAAATTTTATGTCTGATTCGAGCCTATTTCCTCAGATTTGATTTGGGGCAAACTACTCCTTCCTTACAATACCACTGACACCCACCCAAAGTGAGAGCCGCTGCGCCCGGCTATGATCTGGCTTCACACGCTTGTTGGGAAATGGACAGAAGTTAACTCATTATGATGCAAAGACGATAGGAGAGACAGTGTAACCTTGGAAAACACAGGCTGCAGAAGATGTGATCTTTTTCTGCCAGCATTTTCTCAAGACACAGTTCAACTCCAGCAAACAAAGTCTGGGAAGAAAATGAATAGCATCTTTTTTTGTATGAGAGTAGAGGCCTTTGCTACCATTGTTAGATAAGATCTCACAGTTCCGGCTGGATTCAAACTCCCTTCATAGCTGAGAATGACCTTGGACTTCTGAACCTCCTGCCTCTACTTCCAGAGTCCTAGGACCACGGGCAAGCAACACCACACTCCTTTAATGCAATGCTGGGGAGCAAACCCAGGACAAATGCTTGCTAGGCCAGCATTCTACCAGCTAGGCTACACACACCTAGCCCCAACACAGTTTTAATATTTTTAACAGATAAGAACTTAAAACCCCTCTCCTTAAAATGATTATAACTCAGGCAGAATCTGATAGCAAAGATCTGCATGGTCGACATTTGAAATATTTCGAAAAGTAAAGCCAAATTGCAGAGACCTTCTAGATGAAAGTGAGCAACTTACCAGGGTTCCTCCCCGGGGAACAGTCCCTGTTTTCGGTCTGAAGTCAGGCAAGAAAAGCTACAGAACAATACTGTTCTTTCCAATCTTGAGTATGTGCAATTAACTGAGAGCCACGCAGACCTCTAGAACAGACTGGTGATCCAAGCATACATGAGTCCTGCCTTGCTGAAGTTGTCAACTAACAAAAAGACAAAGAAAAGAAAAAAAGAGACCCTGTTGAAAGGTCCTTGCCCAGTTTAGACAGACTCACTGTAGAGGTCTTCTATAAGGAAGTTCTACTTAGCTCATATCAGAAAGATGAGGAACAAACGAAGGTGGGGGGGGGGACATTCTAGACTGGGATGTAATGTCCTCAGGCAGGACAGAGTTGTGAAAGTCCCAAGAGAAGTCAGTTGACATGCATCTCTGAGGAGAGGAAGGCCATATGAATCCAAGAGTTTCTAACATGCTCCAAGTCCTTCCCTTCATCCTGCCACTGACCTGGAAGCACACCATTCTGTGCTAAAGATGCTGCACCTGCAGTTGGGGGTAGAGAAAGGTGGAGCCTTGTGAGTCTGAGGCCAGTCTGGTCTACATAGCTCCAAGACAGCCAGGGCTACATAGCCAGACCCTGTCTCAAAAACAAACTGACTAACATATATGCCAGATAAACTTCAAAAGCTTATTGAGAACTATTTTTCTTTTTAAGGAACTCTCTCTTCCATACACTAATAGACCTGTTTTATTGTTCATCTGCCTGGTGTGTTAAGCCTTCAGACTTTTGGTTGTAACAACCAAAAGTCAATACGGTTTGCTCTTCAGTCTACACCAAGGAAAATCCAAATAACTTCTGGCTGGTAGACATGTGAGCCTTGTACCTGTTACTGATTTCTGCTCAGGAGAATCCTGAGACAGATCTAACATGTAACTAGGGCACTCTATGCCCTGGCAGCTGTCGCATGGCTCAGCTACAAACATATCATGTGACCTCCAGCAGGTCCTCCATCTTTCAAAAACAGAAGTGGGTTTTCCCCACCGAGTCCTGGGGAAAATGAAATTTTTTTTCATTTCAGTTCTTGAAATGAAAAAAATAGGAAAAGAACATATCTAAATGTCTCAGAAGTCAGAACAGCCTACCAGAACTCCAGAGCTGATTCACAGTGCTATTTTCTCCTCCCATACAAAAGCAACCTACTATACGAGAAATAATGGCCATAGCTCGCTTGTCGAATGGCACAAAGTCCTGAGTTTCATCCCCAGCGCCAGAAAATCTGATCTTGGTGGTTCACATTTTATAAACTCAGTATATCAGAGGTTACAGACAGGAGGACAAAAAGGTCAAAGTCATCCTTGGCTACATAGCACATTTGAGACCTGTCTAGGCTACCTGAGATCCTGCCGTGATTAATTTAATAATTAAAACTATTAGAAGAAATTCATTCGCAATAGTTTCTTATGTCCTCCCCTTCAGCCCATTTCTCATGAACACTTTTATTCATTACAACTACAGTACATGCCAAGGACATCCCAGTGTTTCCCAGCTGGGTGCTATTGGCCTCCTAGAGAATTCTCAGGACTTGAATACCCACTGCACTGACAGCGTTTACTGCCTACTCGGTGTCAGCAGTATGGCCTACCATTACGGTCAGGGACATCTCCTGTAGTCATATGAAGAGAGCCAATAATGGCTCGGAGTTGAACTTCTTTTAATCATGGTTTCCCTGAGGGTCAGACATGTGACACCATTTCCCAAGGTCACACAAGTAAATCAGGGCTACAGATGTCTCTGAAGCAACACAGTTTACATGTTGGTAGCATTCATTTCTAGGGAGTTTTAGATTACCTTCCTTCGTCTCTGAGATCTGTGCACTTCGATTCTCTAACTTAGCCCTGTTATAAAACCAGGGCCTAGTTATAAACATGAAGACCAACACTACTTGCCAGCTATCATTGAATCACACACATTGTGGTCTTAACTCGACTGAGCAACATACTTCAGATTCCTGGAGGTCCTCACTAGGAACAGCTCGTCACATTTGTGTTTGTTCCTGGATGAGGAACAGCCTAACTGAATCCAATGGTACCCCTGGATCCATTGCTCTCCGGGAGCAGAGATGAGTCAGTGGGAATATACCCAGAAGACAGAGATCAAGGAGATGCGACTGCTTAGTCAACAAATCCTGTCCTCCGTGGCATTGATAGCCCTGTTTGGTCAACGTGTGTCTTCCCACTCATTGCTCCTCTCACATGATTCCACTACTTGGCAGGAGGTGAGCCTGTCTGTAGCAGTAATAAAATGCCGTGGCTAATTCTGCTCTCATCTTCCCTATTGTAGCTCACTAGACAGCTAGCACCTACTATTAAGTTCTAGGGGAAAAGATGAACAGGTATGATTTTTTAAAACATTGCTCCATTTGAGGTTGTGTCTGTGTCAAACTGTCCCAAGTCACAGGTAGCAAGGAGAGAAAACTACCATGACACCACCGCACGCTCACACGTGCCTGACCCTTCAGTTTTTTGCAAAGGTGCAAAAGGACAGAACCTGTAGGACTCTGTGTTCTTGGGCATTTGCAGAGCGATTCGGGAGCCTCTTTTCATACACCTACCTCTGCCAAGATGTGCTTCAGACAAGCCACATGATCAAGGAGCAAGTGAGGCACAGCCTCTCTCTGTGTTCTGGAAGACCAGTGGGTCCGGAACTGAGTTTTAACAGCATGTTCCAAAGGGAAACTTTTTCTGGATAAGGATATTAAAGACAGGACGAATGGATTGACTCGAAAGTTTAACACAATGAGAACAAAAGTCAAAGCCAAAGTCCTGAACTGGGATACTCTGTAGCCAAATATATTTAAAGCAATAAATACAACTTCACAGAAAGGCTCACAATGGGGGGGGGGGAATACTGTGCACCCTCTTAACAGAATCCGTGGCGATGGTTTATTGTTGGTTTTTTTTTTTCATATTTTCGGTAGTGATAGTAAAAGTTTGTTGGGAGACACTGAATTTGTCTGTAATATTCATTTAAGGTTTTGTTGTCCAGGGACGTATATTTTTTAAATGTTTCTTCATATTACATCAGTCACTTCAAACAAACCAACAGTCGGCCCCCTCTCCGGCCTTTTCCCCTGCCAAAACTGTGCTAATATGCACTTCTAGTTCCACGCTCTTTCCGTTCAGAATCCCCTGCAAATGGAAGAAACTTCCTTGCAGCCTTTAAATGTTGGCACGTAAATATGAAAGTGTTCTCCCCAGCTCCTCCTCTCTCTCTTCCTCCACTCCCTCTTCCTCCCCTCCCTCTCCTGGTGGCTTCACACTCCTGATCCTCCAGGCCCGAGTTCTCTGAATCCTGAAAGTGTAGATGGATACCACCATACCCAGTGCCCCTTCCTTCTGGAAAGCTAAGAGCTACCTAAAATGTTTAACTAAGTTCGTTTTTCAACGACTATTTGTTGCAAGCAAGAAAATAGCATAGTGAAATTTACTGTTAACAAGAAGAGTAAAAATAACAATCAATCTACAAAAGGTAAAGGGGGGAGAAAAGATCCTGAAAATAAAATTACCCAGCACGGCTTAAAGCTAGTCATAACTATTTTAAATTACTCTGCATATAAATATCAGTTGCTCCAATGGGAAAATGTAAAACACACAAAGAGAAAGGTCTAGATGTGATGGAATTATAAATCTGGTTTTATCGGCGGTAGAGTCATACAGTAGAGAAACGTACAGCCCCTTCCCTACCCTTCCAAGCTACCCTCCCTTCTGCCTGCAGAGTGAGACTCTTTGCTGCTGGAAAAGAAAATGGCAAAACCAAACCTGGCAGCAAACCAAAGAAGTGCACAGACAAAAATCAATGCAACTCATACTCAACTCAATTACTTCCCCTCTGAGGCCGAGCAGTCTTCATGAATATGCTCTTGGAACATGGATAGTTTGCTTGAGCACGCTGTCATCTGGTTGGAGAAGAATGTGGGCTTGGTTTTTAAGCTATTTTGCATGAGGGATGAAGAGGAGTTGGGCATATGGTTCAGCGAGTTAATCACTTGCCTTAGGACCTGATGCCCTGATATGAGATCCCCAGAACCCACATAAAGATAGATACAGTAGCACTCATGTCTGCAATCCCAGAATTCATACAGGGCAGCAGGAGGGAGACAGGAGAATCCTCAGAAGCTCAAGTGTGGCCTAGGCTTGCACACTCAGCAGGAAATAACAAGTGAGACTCCGTCTCCCACAAGATGGAAGGTTATTGAACATCCAAGGTTATTCTCCCCTTCTCTTTCCCTGTCCCTTCCCCTTCTCTCCACCCCTGCACACACAGAGTGGGGGAGAGATTAAACATACAAATAAATGAATAAATGAACCTAGATGAAAACGTGTTGACAACAGTGGCCTTGCGGACAATCTGCATTTGAGACCATGTTGTCAGCATAGAAGCTACTCAGGGAAATTATCAGAACTAAGCCTGAAAAAGGACTGGGCAGGGTTGGGGAGGCGGGGGAACCACACTCAGAGCCTAGCTGAGCACCAGCTAAGCACCAGCTATGCTGTTATCCTCCAGGCAAGAAGAACCATGGAGAGTTTTGGAACAAGTAGGGGCTTTACTTGGAGTTTTGAGTTAGAAAGTTCTCTGGAACTGTTGGTCCCCACTGACACCACAGTGGGAAATGTCCTGGGCAGAAAGATCAGTTAAGAGGCTGCTGCAATAGTACAGGCAGGTGTTTATGAGGACCTAAAGCCGATCTGGTAGTCACGATGTAAGACACAGGTGCAACAAAGCCCTGGGAGCATGGGCAGTAAGGTACAACTCTTGCGTGAACACAATGACTTCCAAATGTCATGGAGATATGAGAGGGGAAAGGGCTACTGAGCAGTTGCAAATATTCTGAGTACTGGGTAAATGATCTGGGATGCCCTTCTATATCGATGTTGCTTTTATTGGCTGATGAACAAAGCTGCTTTGGCCTATGGCAGGGCAGAATATAGCCAGGCTAGAAGAAATATATAAAGAGAGAGCAGGCAGAATCAGCGAGATGCCATGAAGCTGCCAAAGGAAAAAGATGCCCAGAACCTTTCCAGTAGGCCACAGCCTCATGGTGCTACAAATATTAATAGAAATGTATTAATTTAAGATGCAAGAGCTAGCTAGAAGTACACCTGAGTCATCAACCAAGCAGTGTTGTAATTAATATAGTCTCTATGTGATTATTCATGTCTGGGTGGCCGGGACACAAAATACAGCCTTCATTTACAGGTAAAATTCATCAAATTTCCTCTA